TTAATTATACGGCTCACCTCTGCCCCCTAAAAAAAGAATAACATTTTTATATACAAGATTAAAAGAAGGCCAATATGACAATTATTCGGAAAAAAATATCTTACCAAAAAAATGAAATTAATTAATAAAAAATGAGTTTGGAAATACTTTAGAACATGCAATTATTTGGAGCTTCATATACGTGGAATCAATGAACGGTAAGAAAATCTGCAACCTTATCAGATACATGGGAATGGACAGATCTAAAAAAACAAAAAGATTTGCATTTTCTACAAATAATGACTTACTTGTCCTTTAGGAAAAGGATTGGATTTAAACAAATTTTGAGTAAAACAGTGATGAGAAAAATTAAGTAAAAATTGGACTATCTTTCTACGTATCTAAGTGCTTGATCATAAATATGTTTAAGAAATCCATTCAGACTTCCATTAAAAATCCAAAATGAATTGGCAGTTTGGAGTAATTTGTAGTAAGTTCTGAATTCCACCTATAATAAGTAATTTAATTAAATTAATATTCGTATATCATGATTTACAGTTGTTATTTTCAGTCTTAAGCCTACACACTTTTTTCCCCCTCAGATTAGGTGAGATAACACTTACACCTTGTTTTCTGTATAAGATTTTTCATTTAGATGGAAAACATAATAGGTATTATATACAAATTCTTAAAAATCACAGATACAGGGAAGAAGCTTGTTTTTCCCCCTCGGAGTAGGTGAGATAACACTTATACCTTGTTTTCCGTATAAGATTTTTTACATAGATGGAAAAACATAAAAACTATTATATACAAATTCTTAAAAATCATAGATATAGGGAAGCTGATATTAAACAACCGTATAAATTTTCAGATCAAATTCAACTTTATTTGTGAGATATGAAATTAACAAATGGCAAATAAAACACTATTCCTTTTTTGTCTTTTTCTTTGCTGATTATAATCTTTTATATTTAATGATTTTTATCATGAAACTTTGTATGGTTATGATCCTTTTAGCTTTTTCTGAGATTATTATCATTATTTTTAGAACTTTTATGCTATGGTTTACACCTAGAATGAGAAATGGGACTGCCCTATTTTGAAGCCCATAACCCTAACCCTTCACTTTTAGTCCCCTCCACAAAGCTTGATAATGCATGCAGCCAAATTAGTGGAGTGGAAAAGCTTCCATTAGTGTTGACTTGACATGACAGTACAGGATCCTTCATGGTACCCACAGAGGCACAAACAAAGCATGACAAGCTGATTGCAAACCATCATAGGGCCACAATAGCTTAGCTTTCTCTGAAGAAAGACACACCCACATGCCACATGAAGCATCTTCTTTTTTCTCAGTGTGCAGAGTTTCCAAAAGCTAAACATATAATTTCAAATATGACATCATGATCACTTGTTCAGAGTTGACAGGGATGACACATAAAAAAAACCTTGGCAGCATGAAGTGAGATTATGGCAATGAAACAGTACAGTTAATATATAAACTGTGAGAGATAGTGCCAACCAGAAATTAAGTACATGTAAAATTAATTAAGAACCATCAACTGAAAAATGATCCCACTTTGCAAGATAGTGGGCTCTGAGTACATGACACTGAAAAACTACTACTAAAAAGAAGTTATCGATTCTATACATAAAAGACAATTGTGTCCCCTATTTAGAGTTATTTTTTTGTTTGATGTTTTTACATGAGTAAGGTACCTTTATTTTTAAGATAGACTAAGGTACTTTACTGATTTACTCTAAAGATGAATATAATTTTTGCAGCTGTGCAGAAACTCCATAAATGAGGGTCTGATCAGTTCCCTTCTAGAACAGCTTGCAAGGAGTCCTAATTAAAATTTGACACATCTTTTCCTGCTTTGGAGAAACTGAGCTGAAATGAGGTGACCTCACTTGAGTCAAAGATCTGAACAGTTATTCCAAGTTGCTGTGGGGGACTTAGCACGAGTTTGCTGTATCACACTTTTTACCACATTCCATGCAGAGACAGTGCAAGAGTCCATCTTGTTCTGCTACTATCAGCCAAGCCAAAGCTGTGCTAAAGGCTCACTTTCCAGAGTGGTTTTCCTAGTGATGAGGAAACAGTGACCCATCCAATCCTTCACATCAATTATGGAGCAGATTCGAGCTCCCAGGAAAACGAGGTATGAAGAATGTGACTCTTTGTTAGTGCCTGCCTAATTGCCGATTAACCATAAAGAACTTATTTTTCCGTGGTTTTTAGTTACCGATTAAGTTAAAGTTCACTTCTGAATTCTACGAACTCATCTGGTCAAAATGAGAGAACCGAATATACTAAACACCTATTAGTAAAACTGATTGAAGATTCTCTTGAAAAAAAGATTACATCATGACTTGTTTTGGTAAGAGATATTTTCTGGCGAAAGAATTCATCATCAGTCCAATGCAAAGTCAAAGATATATCACCATATCAACAGGTAATGTAACTATCACCTTTTTTTTTTTCGCGTAAACAAGATAGCTTAGGTCCAGAAACAACCAATATGCAAATACACACGGACGCAAATCCAACAGATGCCATTGAGGTAGAACGACGCCGAAAAGATGGATCAAGACGTCTCATTACGCTTTGCACGGTCAAACGCTAGCTTATCCAAGATTTGACACAGTGTTAGCCGCACAGAGATACAGTGGAGAGCATATTGCGTATTTATCTTGGCATTTTGCTAACTTGAACAGAATCCAAGAGAAGATTTGTTCCTCAAGTCGCATGAGCTAGGTTTGCCTCCCTCTAGGATATTTCAGAATTGAATGCTTCAGTTTTCTCTGAATTCTTTCACTGCAATGTAAATATGTTGCAATTGCACCTGACAGCCATAGCAGTGATGGTAGTTTTGTGGTCTTAATTTAAATTTGCAAACCTTTTACAATCTCTCAGAGTTGACAAGTACCGCACTGCCTACGGTTGGGAAAATTTAAAAAACCATTAATTTGTCCATTGCCATGGAGCCCTGTACTTTGTCCAATGAAACTTGTTCCTGAAAAAGATTATAAACAGAAACTGTTAGGTATGTCGGATGCACGACGACCCTACTATTAATTACTAGTAATTCACATGCATGTCTCCTAGTAATTAAAACCTGCATTTCTTTTGCGTTTTTCAGAGACGTCCATGTCCATGGCCACTCGGAGCACCACACCACCCTGTTGGCCGAAGCCGACGTGATCATGCCGCGGCACGGCAATGGCAGAATCTCAACTCAGCCATAGCTTTCTTTTTATTTCCTTTTAATTGGAGTGCAGCGAATCATCAATCATGTCAAGCACCCAAGGAGGAAGACGAAGACGAGGACGAAGTAGCAGGACGGACAAATCGCTGAGACATCACGGCCTGAATAAAGCCAGTCGCCATACATATCTGCGTTTTCTTCTGAAACTTAATTGCAGGCCCACACGGTTGTGATCTGATCTGACCGAACTAAACGTGACAAATTATGTGCAGTAGTAGCAGCTTATCAATTTGACAATTGGTGGTGTACTCTCTGCAAGAAGAAAACAAAAAATGGTGATGCACAATTGCACATCAGTGATCAGTACTAGATGTATGTGCATCATTTGGGTTTGTGTGTACAACTTGGTTGCTTGGACGTGTTGGGATTTGTATGACATTGACCATTTGACCACCTCTCTTTCTTCAGAGAGAAGGATGAGATTTCTATCAAGGATCATTGAGAAAGACATAGCACCTAAGCTAAGCTAGTGTACATGAGAGATCTTTAGTTTGGGTGTTTTGGACACATGCAAATATCTCTCCTTTCCCTTGAAAATCTTGTAGAGTTTTTGGATATGGATATCCATATTCTGATGAAGCCAGAGGGTCAGTTGCACTGAACATGCAGGGGATCAAGGCAGAATTGTGCAAAGTCAGAAGTAGGGTTGCCTTCTCAAGATATACTAGAAAGGATCAAAGGAGTAAGGTTGGCTATAGCTAGTAGAAGCTGATTTTCCAAGGTGCAGAAAGTGCAGAGATGATGGTGATATGGAATCAATATAACTGTAGGAGAGGAAGCTCTGAGGATGGAGTATACACATGTATGAAGATATGCTTGTACTGGTTGGTGAGAACAAAGAGTTGTCCTTTTTGGAGTTTGGTGAGGGCCATAATGACTCAAGTCAACTCTCAAGAAAAATAATATTTTTTATTCTGTCCAATACTTGGATTATTGTCTCAACACAGAAGTGCATAGAACAAATCTTAAAAATAAGAAAGAAGTGCATTGCAGCATTTTTCTTTTCATTTATAGGCTATGTTTAGTTCAACGTAAAGTTTGGATTTTGGTTGAAATTAGAGATGATGTGACTGAAAAATTGTGTGTGCATGACATGTTGATGTGATGGAAAAGAACTGAAGTTTGGATCCAAACTTTGGATCTAAACACAGCCATACTTGCTCACCTTGGTTAGAGTAACAGCAACAAATTGGTAATCCAGAATGCATGACAGGAGAAATCCCAGATGGTATTCTTGTTTTGTCGGTAGTTCATAGGAGATAATTTAAATGATAACATATCATATGCACACAAGTCTTCTCGTATAAATACACGCACACCAACTAAAAATTTCACCAATTTTTTTTAAAAAAACTGTACATGTACTTTTACTAGTATTACAGTCTAATCTTCAAAATCATTATATATACAGAGCAACAAAAAAGACAAGATTCTGATAGATTTATACTCTTAAAACTGTCATAATTTTTATCTTTTTTTGGTTACGGTTAAAATATAATGAATCTGAGGTTAAGACTTTATGCAGTAATATTGGAAATACTTGTACAATTTTTTCTAAATTTTTTTAGTGAAATTGTTAGTGGTATGCACGGTGTTACATGAGAAGTCTTGTGTGCACGTGATATATTCTCAATTTAAGTACTCTATCAGCATCTGATTCAATCTAGAAAAAAATTAATGGATAATTCAGGATTAAAATGGCATGCAGCCGTATCTTAGAAGAAGGATCACAATCCCTGCCATGTGTTAAAATAAATGAATGCTCCAACCTGACATTTTTCTGACCAAAGAAACGGGAAATTACATCAAGGAACCCTAGAAACAAATGAGCTTCCCACTAGCAATAGTCAGCTCATGCTAGTGTTGGATAAATAACAGACTGAACTCAGAAGAAATGCATGTCATAGTAAGGAAAAAAGTAAAAATAACAGCAAAAATTAAAGCCTAATGCTTCTTTAATTTTTTTCCCATATAAAAAAAAATATGTGGCCATAGAATTTGATACTTTTCATATTGACCAAACAAACTAATGAGTAAGCAATCCTTTGCTGAGTAGGATCCGATGCAAAAGATGATACTTGCCTTAATCTGGTTTGTTAGGCCGAAGAGAGAGCACTTTTTGTCACAATCAGCATTAACAGCAACACAATAGCAACTCATAAGGACTAATGGCCACTCCACAACAATATTGGAAACCGCTATTACAAGCAGGTCGTAAAGCTTAATCATTTCAGGTTCAAATGACCTACCCAGGCAGACTTGTCCAGCTGATTGGGCCAAGCATATAAACACATCCACATCACAAAATTCGAAAATGCGTATATACCGTGTTGTGCCGAATCATGGGAGCTACAGAGCAAGAAGTGTCCAAAAATTTATGCTCAGAGTCAACTCCCTGTGTGTGACCACAAAAGCAACAAACAATACGATGTATAGGGTTTACAAGAGAAAATGGACAGTAAATGTTCTAAAAGGATAAATGGATAATGATAAATTGATTACTCACTCGGGAGCTGGGGAGGAATCAACCTGGGCTATGTATGGTCCAGGTCTGTCCCAGCTTGCTTTAGCCCTCAAAAAGTTCAGCATGGTGAAAGTCCCTGAGCCATAGTCCAGGTGGCCTGTAACATTTCATACAAACTATTCAAATGTAAAAAAGAAAAAAAATACAGTGAGCAAAGTATTCTGTAACTTCTGTATTATCTTCCATCATGGCCTTTTAGTTTCAGTTGAAGATATGCACATTTTCATATGCAAAGATAATAATGCAGACTATGTGCAATCATTTTCCCCTCCTCTTATTTTATTTTATTTTAGAAAAAATGGTTTCCCTCTTGTGAGCATCTGGAGAAACACCAGTATAGGTGACAAGTGATCACCTATAAAAAAAGATACAGTGAACAAAGTATTCTGTAACTTCTGTATCATCTTCCATCATGGCCTTTTAGTTTCAGTTGAAGACATGCATATTTTCATATGCAAAGATAATAATGCAGACTATGTGCAATCATTTTCCCCTCCTCTTTGTTTTTTTTTTACAAAAAAATGGTTTTCCTCTTGTGAGCATCTGGAGAAACACCAGTATAGGTGACAAGTGATCACCTATAAAAAAGATGGGAGCAGGCTCAGCTTGAGTATTCTGTTGATTCATTTCTATCATTTGATGCCAAAAAACTTCTACATCAAAAAGAAACAAACAAATTACTGTCATGGCTTGAGGTAGCAGTTAGAACAGTGCAGATGATGTACAGGAACTTCAAGAGTTAAAAATGACAACATATTTTGATTGAAGAACACTCCAGGGTGATATGATCAGAACATCTGACTTGTCAGAATATAAAATATGAACATCTCAAGTCTTTAATGCCAATAAGTTGTCCATAAATTCACAGAGCACGTAACAAGAAGAAAAGATATACAAAAACATATATTCTTCAACGCTGCTTTAGTACATTCAAAGACCTTCAGCTGAGAGAATGAATTTGATCTAGTCCACAGGCTGGCATCGACCAGTGGAGATCATACTTCCTCCGTCCAATTCTATCAGGTTTATTTTGATCTATCATAGTCAACAAAATTAGACTTTGGCCATTAATTTTTCTTGCAACATATAATTGTCAATGGCTACAAAATCTATTGTTTTGGAAGAACTTTGAAACATAAATATATCGATACACATTTTTTTGACAGTAAACATGCATATAATTTGACAAATTATTGGTTAATCTTAAGGATTGAATTTTTCAAATACATGTATGCCTTAAATAATTGGATAGATGGAGTGACTTTTAACTTGAACATTCAGAACTTCGGACTGCACATTCAGAACGCATGAATCCAACAATGGCATGTATGAAACATAACCTGATTATATTTTGCTAAGATCGGCATCTAAACACTTTAAACATTTCCTAATGAGAAAATGAAATTTCCCATTTATTAAAAATAATAGTTCACATCAGATAAACACTTTAGTGCCTCATAGAAAGAAAATAACGGAGATTCTTCCAAGCAGTCATTTCCCTTTTTCTTTTCGCAACCAACAGGCAGTTCTGCTCTGCAAAATGATCCTTGCTCAGCATTGAAGATGAACTATTATGTTCACTCGCTTTCACCTTCGTATGCAGATGCGCGTGCAAATGCCAGTTCCTGTCACATGTGGACATACTTCGATTAAACTGGACACTGCTGGAGGAGACAACATTCAGATGAATTTGAGATGGCACACAGAAAATAGTGATGTTGCATCAGGTACGCATGAAAATGTCCATGGTGCAGAAAGTGCAAAACAGATACATGTAAAGCAAACAAGAAAATAACAGCAACGGAAGGGGAAGAAAAGAAATGGAGGCATAAAAATAACATGCAGAGCATGATCAACTGTTCTTTTCAGTGCCCACTTCTCCATTGTCATTTTGGAAAATAGACCTAGTCGCAATATTAACACATTCCTACCAATGCCCTGTGAGATGGCAATATTACAAAAGTTAGGCAGTGAGTAGCCAATGCTGATAAGAAGGCATAGCTGCAATATCATCCTCATGGAAAGCTCTGCAAGCAAGCATAATAGTATTGAAAAGAATGTGGTTCACATGGTATAACTGCAACCACCGTGGATCAGTATAATGGAGCCAGAGAAAAGCTCATTTGAAACTCACAAGCTCTCCCTATTTTTCATCATACAGTAAAACACTCTAAAATACAGCCGTTGCTGTTCAAAGAAAGAGCAATACCAATACTTGAAACAACAATACCACTACCGGCAGCTTACCTAGTAAAAAATGCTAACAAAAAAGAGTAATTCAAACCACCTAAGAGATAAACCTGCTAAATCGTTCATTGGCGTTCATTATAGTCCCAAAGAACCAAAATATAAACACCTTTAGTACATTTTTTTGAATTTCTGATGCTGCTCTGTTTGAGGAAGTCTTTCAGAGAAACAAGAAACATAGTCTGAACAACTTGAATCAGGATGATAATACAGTCTAAGATTCACCAAATCTGTAAATAGTCAGAGTAAATGTTGCATTGGACCCATTATTTTCATCAGAAGATTTATTGCACATCCCAAATACAAATAATACATGTGAACAAAGATAATCACATTCTCTTCTGACAGCGCCAAACATTATCCTACACAGCCACATCCAGTGTTTGAAATGCTCCCACTCACAAGACTGTCCTCTAGGGGTACATACAAAATAACTGAAAACCAAACCGGGGTACTCTATTTTTTTCTGTTTAATTTATGTGTGCGGTTCAGTTTCCACGACTAACCCAACGTCATTGTGCAATGACTAAAACACAAGTATGTTAATTAATAAGTAACAACCACACTAGACTTAGACTAAAAGGAATCAATATGCACAAATCGTGGATGAAATATATGGGATAAAAGAAAACCACAAATGAAACTTATGCAGTAGCAGGCACTAAAAGTCCAATGTACTCCCAAATATTAATATGGGAGAATCAATTACAGTAACGAATCATAAAAAAATGTCTTGGAGCAAAAAGGCAAGCAACGTACCAGTGAGGTGCTGATTATGATTACAGCACAATTGCATTCTCTGAGATTTTCATGGTTTGAAAACGTTCCAAAATTGGTCCATTATCAAGTTCTTTAAATATCTCTCTCTCAATATAACACACCATAAAGTCATTGAGGATTTCATCAGGTATAAGCTCACAAAAATCGGTATGGATAGCATTCACTTCTGAAAATATTTTTTCAACTGATGCTTTTGTAACTGGTAAGAGCAGTGCCAACTTGATGAGGCGATATACCAATGCAAATTTGAAATGTGTTTCAGTTTCAACCATCTTAGCAGCTAGACTTGCAATGTCATAACAGGCAGTAAATTCATTACTTCTTCTCATAAAAAGAATGTAGTTTTGGAGTTCATGTTTTATAGCTACACGATCATCTATGGAGAAATCTTCAGCATAAATCCCAGCAAGCCAAGCAAGCTTTTCCACATCAAACTTAGAGAAGTTGTTCCTTGGATCAAGATAAGAAAAATGAACTAGTAACTCCATAGAAACATCATTAAAACGATGAGTTATCTCTGTCATAATGGAGTCGATAGCAGCAAAGAAAATATCATCACGATAATGATAATATCAAGTAAGAGTTACCCCATCACGCCTTGAATGACCTGTAGCTCGTATATGCTCATCCATATTTGGCACCGGAATCCAATTTGTGGCACAAAAGCTCTTGACATCCTCAAACAATGATTCCCAGCCATTATTCCTCAAGGTTTGCAAACATTCTTTCACATCTGTAAGTTGTCCCACAGCCTGAATAATGCCTTCATCCTTCCTTTGCAACACAAGTGATAACTCATTTGTAATGGTAAACAACTTTAACATCATCTTCAAAATGAATACAAATTCAAAGCTCTCCATTGTTTGTATCAAACCTCCTGCGCGAGACGGTTGACGCCCATGTTGATGCACAATCATTAGTACATCCAACACTGAGTCCCACATCATGTTAATACGGCCCAAGGTTGTATAATATGATCCCCATCTTGTACCTCCCAAGCTAGCCAGGTTCTTTTCTTTATGATTGCTTCCTTCAGAGAGTATCTCACCACTCTCCAACTTATTCAAAGTGGTTTGGTGATGCTTTTCAGTTGATTTATCCATCATCTGACAGGATTCAATCGTAGTGGTGATGATCAAAGAGATACTGACGAAGAAATCATGAATTAGTGACGAAGAGCACCTTGAGACAGTAATAAGCACAGATTCCAACTGGTGGGCAAAGCAGTGGACATAGAAAGCATACGGATTTTCATTATGTATCAGTAGCTGCATGTCGTTAAATTCACATCTCATGTTTGAAGCTCCATCATACCCCTGTCCTCGTAGTTTAGAAATAGATAAGCCATGCTGAGCAAGCAGACCAACCAATGTTTCCTTGAATGCAGCAGGTGTATCCTCTGTGAGATATTCAAGACCAAGAAATCTTTCTATAACCTTCCCTTTCTTATTCACAAACCTGCAAACCACAAATTAGAATATGTTAAGGTGGCTCAACAATGAAATGGTAGTTGCTTTCAAGTAGAGAACATATAAACAACTTACCTTACAAAAACTGCCATTTGATATTTCTCTGCCATATCGTGAGAATCATCAATAAGTATGGTGAAATTACCATCTCCAATCTCTCCAATTATCACTTCTGTGACCTCTTGTGCACAAGCTTTTGCAAGACCCTTTTGAATCAATGGAGAAGTTATGTCAATATTTCCAACGACGTTCATATCAAAAGCCCTTTCAACCTCTTTATCCCTCTTCTTGTACAAATCTATTAACTCTAGAAGATTGCCCTTGTTTATGGAGGTTGGTGATTGACCAGGACCACTGAAGGCCATGCCTTGCATTAGGAGAAATCTTGCACAATCTAAAGAAGCAATGAAACAAATTCTATATGCACTTCCAATGTCTGGATGGTTAGAAGAGAGCTCATGAGACTTGCTTTGATAGCCAAAATCCTCAAGACCTTTCCTTCCCTTACTGTGATCACTGGTACCTCCACCAACCTTGTCTTTGGTTTCCCCATGATACCCATCAATTGATCTGTGTCGATTCAAATCAGAAGTTGTGGCATCTGGATTAAACTTCTTGGTAACATTAGCCCTTTTCTTCAGCCCTGTAGGTGTGCCCGCACCACATTCAAGAGTCCTCTTTGGCACAGGCTGATAATACCTCCTCATTACTTAAAGGTTAAAACTAACCTGAGAAACATATACATTATCAAAAATTAATATATCAAACACAGTAACACAGATCCACCTAAGATTTACCCCCACAACAATATCATAATTTCGCACATAACATGCTCAAATGTTAATTCAGAATTGCCACAACTCACAGGTCCTCCAATGCTTACAATCCAGAAGTGACAACTAACGAGATTTGAACAGGAGTATAATACCTCCTCATTTCTTAAAAGTTAAACCCTGAGAAACATGTTACATTATCAACAATTAATAAATAAAAAAATTCCACCTAAGATTAAGCCACAATAATACCATAATCTCTCTCATAACAAGTTCAAATGCTAATCCATAATTCCTAGTTGCTACAATGCTACAACAAACAGGTCCCCGAATGCTTACAATCTGAAAACTACAATTCACGAGAGCTGAATGGGAGTACAAGTAGAGGACTCAGTACCAAAATCCCTCGCCCCACTCCGCCGGCGCACCGGCACTCGCTGCTGCCCCTCCAGCTCCAGCCTCCGCAACCCACCGACGTCCCGACGCCTCCGCCGGGGAATCGAGCCTCCGGGAGACTTCTCAGGGCGGAGGCGGAGCAGTCGCCCCACGCCGCCGCTTCCCCTCCCCCAAAATGCGTAATCACCGAATTGCCACTGCCGGCTAGGGTTTTCCCGCCGAAATGGAGAAAACCCCATTGCCGAATGGACCACGCGGCCTTTTAACTCCTCGAAGGCCTTCTTGGGCCGCTTTCCGGGCCGCGGGCCTCCACCACCCGTATTCCCGTGGGGTCTAGATCCATCCCGGCATTCCGAACAACGGTTGCGAATCCTTTCCGGGCGGAAAGAAAAACAGAGCTTGTCAGACAGATCCGACCCGAACACCATCCGCTTCGCCGCCGCATCAATTCGGCGAGAGGCGCATTCGAATCTGGAAAGCACCAAACCCTAGCTTCACCACCACCACGACCACCACCATCTCCCATGGCGCCGACGGCGGCGGCGGCGGGGCCCAGCGACGACGGGCTCCGGAAGCTGGAGTACCTCTCGCTGGTCTCCAAGGTGTGCTCGGAGCTGGAGACCCACATTGGCGTCGGCGACAAGGTGCTCGCCGAGTTCATCACCGAGCTCGGCCGCGACTCCGCCTCCGTCGCCGACTTCGACACCAAGCTCAAGGCCAACGGCGCCGACCTCCCGGACTACTTCGTCCGCACCCTCCTCACCATCATCCACGCCATCCTCCCGCCGCCCTCCGACTCCCGCAACCCTAGCTCCGCGTCGCAGCCCGCCGCGGGGGGCTCCAAGTTCCCCGGCCTCTCCCGCCCCGACGACCCCGACCGCGCCCGCAACCTCCGCCTCGAGCTCGAGCGGGACGCCGAAGAGGCCGCCGCGACGGCAGCCCCCGCCCCCGCCAGGGACGACCGCGGCCGCCGCCGTGATGAGCGAGGACGGGACCGGGGTCGAGATGACCGCGGCCGCGACGACGGTGGGCGTGACCGCGACTATGAACGCGGCGGCCGTGACCATGACCGCAGCCATGGCCGGGATCGTGACCATGGCCGTGACAGAGACCGAGATCGAGCCTGTGATGGGGATCGACAACGTGGCCGTGACTATGGCCGTGATAGAGACCAAGACAGAGATCACGACAGGGATCGTGAAGGTGAACGGCGGAGGGACCGAGATAAGGATAGGGGTAGAGACATTGACAGAGATATGGACAGGGACCATAGGCGAGGCAGGAGGTATGATGATGAGGAAGAACCAGAACAGTTTGGTGGAAGGAAAGAAGGCGCTCTTGTGAATTCCAGTGGCGAGCCAGAGTTGTACCAGGTGTACCGGGGTAGGGTGACACGGGTAATGGACACCGGTTGCTTTGTCAGGCTTGAGGATGTTCGTGGAGGACGTGAGGGTCTTGTTCACATCTCACAAATGGCAACCAGGCGAGTGGCCAATGCGAAAGAGATGGTGAAGCGTGATCAGGAGGTGTATGTTAAGGTGGTTTCCGTGAAGGGCCAGAAATTGAGTTTATCAATGAGGGACGTAGATCAGGATACAGGGAGAGATCTCCTGCCAATACAACGTGGTGGGGATGATGCACCAAGGGCGAACCCATCTGGTGGTAGTGCTAGTGGTGTTGGTGTGGGCTCTGGCAAGAGGCTGGGTCTCTCTGGGATTATGATTGCAGAGGAGGATGAGGTTGCACCTCCTTCACGTCGGCCACTTAAGCGGATGAGCTCTCCAGAGAGGTGGGAGGCGAAGCAGCTGATTGCTTCAGGTGTTCTGGATGTGAGGGATTACCCAATGTTTGATGAGGATGGGGATGGTATGTTGTACCAGGAGGAAGGGGCAGAAGAGGAGCAGGAGATTGAGCTTAATGAAGATGAACCTGCTTTCTTGCAGGGACAGAGTAGATTTTCGATTGACATGTCACCTGTTAAGATTTTCAAGAATCCAGAGGGCTCATTGAGCCGAGCAGCTGCTCTCCAAACTGCTCTCATAAAGGAGCGGCGTGAGGTTCGGGAACAGGAACAGAGAGCAATGTTGGATTCAATCCCCAAGGATCTGAATCGGCCATGGGAGGACCCTATGCCTGATACTGGGGAACGGCACCTTGCGCAGGAGCTGAGGGGTGTTGGACTTTCAGCTTATGACATGCCTGAATGGAAGAAAGAAGCCTATGGAAAGGCTCTGACATTTGGGCAAAGGTCTAAGCTTTCAATACAAGACCAGAGGCAAAGTCTTCCAATATACAAGTTGAAGAAAGAGCTGATACAAGCTGTGCATGATAACCAAGTCTTGGTTGTTATTGGAGAGACTGGTTCTGGTAAAACAACACAGGTGACACAATATTTGGCCGAAGCAGGCTACACGACCAGAGGTAAGATTGGTTGCACTCAACCTCGTCGTGTGGCTGCAATGTCTGTTGCTAAGAGAGTAGCAGAAGAATTTGGTTGTCGACTTGGAGAGGAAGTTGGTTATGCCATCCGCTTTGAGGATTGCACTGGGCCTGACACGGTAATCAAATACATGACTGATGGCATGCTTTTGCGTGAGATTCTTGTCGATGAGAACCTTTCCCAGTATTCTGTAATTATGCTTGATGAAGCGCATGAAAGGACCATACACACAGATGTTCTCTTTGGCTTGCTGAAACAGCTTATTAAGCGCAGATCTGACATGAGGCTTATTGTTACTTCTGCTACCCTGGACGCAGAGAAGTTCTCAGGGTATTTTTTCAATTGCAACATCTTCACAATTCCTGGAAGGACGTTCCCGGTAGAGATACTCTACACCAAACAACCAGAAAGTGACTATTTGGATGCAGCATTGATCACCGTGCTTCAAATACACTTGACTGAGCCAGAAGGTGATATCCTCCTTTTTTTGACTGGTCAAGAGGAGATTGATCATGCTTGTCAATGTCTTTATGAGAGGATGAAAGGGCTAGGGAAGGATGTTCCTGAGCTCATAATATTGCCTGTTTATAGTGCTCTTCCGAGTGAAATGCAGTCGAAGATCTTTGACCCAGCTCCTCCAGGGAAGAGGAAGGTTGTTGTGGCCACCAATATCGCTGAAGCTTCTCTAACCATTGACGGCATATATTATGTCGTCGATCCTGGTTTTGCCAAAATTAATGTTTATAATTCAAAACAAGGACTCGATTCATTGGTCATCACTCCAATCTCTCAAGCATCAGCGAAGCAGAGGGCAGGGCGTGCTGGGCGTACTGGCCCTGGCAAATGCTATCGTCTATACACTGAAAGTGCATACCGCAATGAAATGTCTCCCACAACAATCCCAGAAATTCAAAGGATTAACTTGGGGTCTACAGTTCTCAACATGAAGGCGATGGGAATCAATGACCTATTATCCTTTGATTTCATGGACCCTCCTGCACCTCAAGCACTTATATCTGCAATGGAGCAATTGTACAGCCTAGGTGCTCTTGATGAAGAAGGGCTCCTTACCAAACTGGGGAGGAAAATGGCTGAATTTCCACTGGATCCACCACTTTCGAAGATGCTTCTAGCCAGCGTTGACCTTGGATGCAGTGATGAGATACTAACTATTATAGCTATGATACAAACTGGGAACATTTTCTATAGGCCAAGAGAAAAACAGGCTCAGGCTGATCAAAAGAGGGCCAAGTTTTTCCAGCCAGAGGGGGATCATCTAACTCTGCTTGCTGTATATGAGGCGTGGAAGGCAAAAAACTTTTCAGGGCCCTGGTGTTTTGAGAACTTTGTTCAATCAAGATCCTTAAGGAGAGCTCAAGATGTGAGGAAGCAGCTTCTCACTATCATGGACAGGTAACTATTTAATTTTCAGTGGTTTGAACTAAAATCCTCTGTGAAGATATATATTCTTTGACTTGTATTCTTGTTAGTTTGCCATGTACATAGGTCAATTTCTTCCAAGCTTGGTTTGCCTTCAGATTACTCTGAGTTCCTTGCTCTCCCCATTTGATTTAGATTATTGAGCGGATTAAATCGAATATTTTGGGAAATAAACTTAGCAAATAGCTTAAAACAAGTGGTCAATGCAGTACAAGAAAGTTTTTGAGGCAATGTATTTTCTTTTGAAGCATAGAGCAAATAATCCGTTTCAATAATCCAACGTATTATCTGAAAAAGAACATTTTATATTATTGTCATCAATTGCCTGGTTTATTACGTTAGCATTCTTCATGTCTTAACACAGTTGAGCTTTTCTGATTTTTAGTTAAAAGAAAAGCATAGTAGTCAAAAAAAGAACATGCTGCAATTACTTCAAAAAAGGGAGTAGGGAGGTGATGATAACTTGACCTACCCAAGGCCCAAGTTTAGATATTTTTTACTACAATTTATGTAGCTGGGTGTTTGTTATTTGTAAAATAATAGAAAAATAGTAATCTTTGCATATGAGTATATGTAGGTGGTCAGTTCTTCTATAATAATGTATACAAGTTCTAGATTTGAGGATAACTTGTTGCATTTATATTTTATTTTAGACTTGTAGTTTATTTAGTTGGGGCTCATTGCAAATTGAAACACCTAGTGCATATGCAATTATGCAGTGCATTGTGACAAGATGTATACTAAAGACATAACCATAAAAAAAGCAAAGTATGCATGGTAATTTGTATTACACTTTATTTCAACAATATGGGAGTTAGATCTGAAACTGGGTTGCATAATTAACAGTTTGCCCCGCAGTATTTACTTGATACCATGTTATTATTCATCAGGGTTTTGCATAGTTTACAGTTTGCCCCCACAGTATTTACTTGATTGTGTGTAATTCATCAAATGGGGTTGATATATTAGTTTCTGTGGATGGACTATACTATTCGATCCCTTTGTTGTTGTTTTAGAAATAAAAATCTCAAGAGAAATTATTAGAGAATTGCTTCATTTGTTACCTGCTCTGTGATCGAGGTCTTTTGACCATTCTAGTTTTAATAGCATATTCCACCTTTTTAGATGAGCTGTTATGTCTTATGAGTTTTTCTTTTAAACGAGGGCATCTTATGAGTTCCATCGTTATACTAACAAATTCCGTGATTTTTGCAGATATAAATTGGATGTTGTCTCAGCTGGGAGGAACTTCACAAAAATAAGGAAAGCAATCACTGCCGGCTTCTTTTTCCACGCTGCCAGGAAGGATCCCCAGGAGGGATACAGAACCTTGGTAGAGAACCAGCCGGTGTACATACACCCGAGCAGCGCATTGTTCCAGCGGCAGCCAGACTGGGTCATCTACCACGAACTTGTAATGACGACGAAGGAGTACATGCGGGAGGTTACCGTGATCGACCCGAAGTGGCTTACTGAGCTAGCCCCGAGATTCTACAAGTCAGCAGACCCAACCAAGATGAGCAAGAGGAAGAGGCAGGAGAGGATTGAACCCCTGTACGACAGGTACCATGAGCCCAACTCCTGGCGTCTCAGCAAGCGCCGAGCTTGATGGCTCTCACCTGTACAATGTTCTGCATGTTCTGCGGCGCTGGTTCGATCAAATTCCAAACTGGAAATTTTGGTGTAGCTGTAAATATTAATGTGACTGTTGTCTCAGCTGTGTTTCTTACATGACTGTTGTTAGCTGAGCAGGTATTGACACATGTAATGTAGCTGGACTCTGTCCTTTGTTGAGACAGTTCCCATGAATTTTTCCGTTTGCCTAAATGCCAACGTTCATCATTAAGTGATGCAATTTTCTGAGATAATTTGGATGGCCCGTTAATCATTTACCTGTTGGGTACGTCGGTTATTTATAACTTGTTAGTGAATTCAAATATTGCTGTGCGGACTGTTTATCGTTTCTAATGATTACGGGATGCTTATTGAAAGATTGACCTTTTTTATCTGCCTACATAGGATGAGAGATACTTATGTATGAAACTATTCCCTTCGCCCTAAAATATAAATATTTTTAGCTCTAAATTTGGATAACTATGTGTTTAGATTTATAGCTAAATATTTTATGATGAAGGTGTAGTTTTTTCTTCCAGGGAACCATTTGAAATAGAAGGGATGGGAGAGCAATGTAGATAGGACGAGCTTCAGGGACTATTTAAGTACGTACAGACATAGGATGATAGAGGCATGTAGACATAGGATGAGGTACTTCAGTAATCCACATCTTAAAATAAGAGTATAACTATAAACCTAAAGATAAGAGTACATTTAGTGTTATAGTTAAAAGTCAATTTTCTAGCTATATATATATATATATATATATATATATATATATATATATATATATATATATATATCTCCATAAGAGTGTTCACATTCATACCAGAAGTATAAGGATAGCACGTTTGAAACTTAACTATATACCTAAAGATAAGAGTATACTCCCTCTGCATATGCTCATACGTACTACCAGGGGTACCGTTACAATAATTCAAAATCAGTTTTACTTTCGAAAAGAACATGCCAACCGAAATATATGATGATCGAAGTTGATTTCGTCCGTTATCAATTTCTGTCCGACTTGAGATAAAGCTGGACGACAAATCGATCTCGTATTTGAAGGCCCCATTGTTTGGATTATGCTTATTCCTATAAGCCAAATTTTAAATTTTAGAACTTAATTTTGAATTTGACTTTTTGGTATTTTTTATCGTACTTTATTTTACAACATTTACTTTTGAGTTGCTAAGAACATGTATATAAAAGATTTGCGCACAAATAGTCTTTTATTTGGTAATAATTGATTTGGATAAGCACATTAATAAACGAAATAATGTGATGCAGCAACGGGGGTTCCCGATCTTTCGATGAGAGGAGGATAAACTTCGATTTGGGGAAGGATACGACGTTGGCGGTCCGACTACAACTACCACAGGGGTGCTGCGCCTTAGCAACCGATACACCGACTCCACGTTGTTGCTGTTCTTGCCGTGCCAAGAACAACCTTGAACCTGCAAACAATCGAAGAACAAGCAAGAACAAGTTGACAAGGAAACAGCTCACGGCACTTGTCAAATGATGAAACTTAAACAAACCAAAATGGGGTTCTGAATACAAGTATCCGGGTGGTCTAGCCGACACACGCGAGTACAAGGAAGTAGCTGCAGCTAAACTTACATCAAAACAAAACCCAAAGTGCAAAATGGTGGCTGCTAGGAGTTTATATAGGTGGAGGAATGACCAGGAGAGGAGGTGGGAGCAAACCCTAGGTTTTGTGGACCCCTAATGGGCTGTAATGATACAAGGCCCAAGCCCAAGTTTCTGATGTAAAGAACTATTTTCGTCATTCTGAGCAGCCTGGGTCAAAGTTGATGGTGAGGCCACACATAGCAGAAAGTAGACGACGAGATCTTTCCAACAAGTACTCATTTGCCCCGTTTGCCCTCCGGAGTGAAGAGCATTGACTTCATCAAATCAGCGCTGCTAGTGCTGCTTGCGATTTGGTTCCTCTCCCATATTCCTAACAACAAGTAGATCACAACAACCATTTAGTAGCACCCAATTCTGAGAAGAACTTGTATGATTAGCTAGGAATGACTTTACCTGATAATTAAGTTCACGAGCTCGAGCTCTAGTCATTGGTCCTTGCTGTGCAATAGGCATGGTTGTATCGTTGGAAGGGATGTCCTCATCATCCTCCCCTTCTTGCATTTGAGTCGTCCTCGACTCTAACTCATCTTCTTCTTCCAAATATGGCTTTAAATCTGCAATGTTAAACGTGGAGCTAACCCCAAAATCGGCAGGTAGCTCAAGTTTGTATGCATTGTCATTAATCTTTTGTAGCACTTTGAAAGGACCATCAGCTCTAGGTAGCAACTTAGATTTTCTCAAATTAGGGAACCTATCCTTTCTCAAATGCAACCAAACCAAATCACCAGGTTCAAAAGCAACATGTTTCTTTCCTTTGCTCCCAGCAAGTTTATACTTAATATTCATGCGCTCTATGTTCTCCTTAGTGGTCTCATGCAGTTTTAACATCAATTCAGCGTGATATTTTGCATCAAAGTTCACTCTCTCTGAAGTTGGGAGGGGCAAAAGATCAATTGGAGCACGGGGTAGAAGGCCATAAACAATCTCAAAAGGGCACTTCTTAGTAGTAGAATGTTGTGAACGATTATAAGCAAACTCAACATGAGGCAAACATTCTTCCCACATTTTAATATTCTTTTTCAAAACAGCCCTAAGCATTGTAGATAATGTTCTATTCACCACCTCAGTTTATCCATCAGTTTGGGGGTGACATGTAGTAGAAAATAAAAGTTTAATCCCCAACTTAGCCCACAAGGTTCTCCAAAAATGACTAAGGAATTTTGTATCGCGATCAGAAACTATGGTGTTTGGCACTCCATGCAAGCGAACAATCTCACGAAAGAACAAATCAGCAACATGTGTAGCATCATCACTCTTATGACAAGGTATGAAATGCGCCATCTTAGAAAATCTATCTACAACAACAAAGATATTGTCCCTCCCCTTCTTTGTTCTAGGCAGCCCTAAAACAAAGTCCATAGAAATATCCTCCCAAGGCACACTAGGAACAGGCAAAGGCATATACAAACCATGAGGGTTAAGGCGTGACTTAGCTTTTTGGCATGTTGTGCAGCGAGCAACGAACCTCTCCACGTCTCTCCTCATCTTAGGCCAAAAAAAATGATCAGCAAGAATATCCTCCGTCTTCTTCACACCAAAGTGTCCCATCAGCCCTCCACCATGCGCTTCCTGCAATAATAGCATACGCACGGAGCTAGCTGGAATGCATAACTTATTAGCTCTAAACACAAACCCATTGGTGAGAACGAATTTGTTCCAAGTCCTTCCCTCCTTGCAATTCAACAACACATCTTTAAAATCATCATCGTGCGCATATTGCTCTTTTATTGTTTCTAAGCCAAAAATTTTGAAGTCAAGTTGGGATAGCATTGCGTAACGTCTAGACAAAGCATCAGCAATGACATTTTCTTTTCCCTTCTTATGTTTGATGACATATGGAAAAGATTCAATAAATTCAACCCATTTAGCATGCCTACGGTTAAGTTTTGCTTGACTTCGAATGTGTTTCAAAGATTCATGATCAGAGTGTATAACAAATTCTTTGGGCCATAAATAATGCTGCCATGTTTCCAATGTTCGCACTAGAGCAAACAATTCCTTATCATAAGTAGAATAATTCAAACTAGGCCCACTCAATTTCTCGCTGAAATATGCTACAGGTTTGCCTTCTTGTAACAACACACCACCCAATCCAATCCAACTAGCATCACATTCAAGCTCAAAAGTTTTGTTGAAATCAGGAAGTTGGAGTAAAGGAGCGTGTGTTAACTTATCTTTCAAAGTGTCGAATGCATTCCTTTGTGCTGCAGCCCAAGTGAATGTGACATTTCTCTTGGTAAGCTCATGTAATGGGGCTGCAATGGTGCTAAAATCCTTCACAAAGCGGCGGTAGAACCCAGCAAGTCCTAGAAAGCTTCTCACTTGTGTGATCGTTGTTGGAACCGGCCAGCTATGTATGGCTTCAACCTTGGCTTGATCTACTTCAATTCCCTGCGGAGTCACAACATAGCCAAGAAAAGAGACTCGATCTGTGCAAAATGTGCACTTCTCAAGGTTACCAAATAAACGTGCATCTCGTAGAGCATCAAAAACAGCACGCAAATGACCATGATGATCCTCTATTGATCTGCTATATATGAGAATGTCATCAAAATATACCACCACAAATCTGCCAATGAAAGCACGTAAAACTTCATTCATTAATCTCATGAAAGTACTGGGTGCATTAGTGAGACCAAAGGGCATGACTAACCACTCATATAGTCCGAATTTAGTTTTAAAAGCTGTTTTTCATTCATCTCCTAACTTCATGCGAATCTGGTGGTAACCACTACGCAAATCAATTTTAGAGAACACAAGTGAACCACTCAATTCATCAAGCATATCATCTAGCCTAGGGATAGGATGACGATATCTGATTGTGATGTTGTTAATTGCTCTACAATCCACACACATGCGCCATGAGCCATCTTTCTTAGGAACTAAAAGCACGGGGACAGAACAAGGACTAAGAGACTCACGTACATACCCCTTGTCGAGTAACTCTTGCACTTGACGCTGAATCTCCTTTGTTTCCTCCGGGTTGGTCCTGTATGGCGCACGGTTTGGCAGAGAGGCCCCAGGAATGAGGTCAATTTGGTGCTCAATCCCTCGAATTGGTGGCAGCCCCGATGGAACCTCCTTTGGGAAAATATCAGCATACTCCTGCAAAAGGTTAGTGACCGGAGGAGGCAAAGAAATAGGAGTATCCTCAATTGGAAATAAGGTTTCTTTGCAAACCAAAGCATAGCAAACAACAGTGTCAGTGTCAACTTCATCCAAATCTGATTTTGTTGCAATGAAACAAGATCCCTTCAGCTTAATCTCATTTTTATTATTTTGAACAGAGTTGGTGGGTTTCTTCTTATGCTTCTCAAGTTCATTAGCCGCAATAAGATGCTCACTCCTAGTACGCTCCTGATTTTTTTGTTTGCTAGCTCTAGCAAGTTCATCCTTTAAAATAACTTCAGGAGATATAGGATGTAACACAAGTTTTTTTCCATTATGCACAAAGGAGTATTGATTGGATTTGCCAAAGTGTAAAGAATCTTTATCAAACTGCCATGGCCTACCTAATAACATAGAACATGCTTGCATAGGCACAACATCACAGTTGATTGAATCATGATAAGAACCAATGGCAAAATGTACTCTTACCAATCGTGTTACCTTTACCTTGCCGCTGCTATTAAGCCATTGAATATAGTAGGGCTGTGGATGTGGCTGTGTGCTCAATGCAAGTTTCTCCACCATTTCAGCACTAGCCAAATTATTGCAGCTTCCTCCATCTATGATCACGCGGCAAGAGCGTTCCTTGATCACACACTTGGTTTGAAACAAGGTGTGGCGCTGATTCTGTTCAGCCCTTTCCATTTGTGCGCTTAGCACTCGCTGCACCACGAGGCTCTCATAGTGCTCTGCAGCTTCAGCCCCAATGTGTTCCTCATCTTGGTGGGGCGCGTCACCTTCCCCTGCATTGTTAGTTGCAAGCAAAGCATAGGTTTCTTCATCTAAATCACTAGCAGAGGAGTACCCACCATCAGCTCTCACAATCATTACACGAGTGCTTGGGCAGTCCTTGCGCACGTGACCATAGCCCTTGCAGCGTAGGCACTGAATATCTCTTGTCCTTCCTGATGAAGCTACTGATGATGAGCTCTTGGAAGGTGTAGCAGCAACCCCTCTTGTTGGTTCACTCGGGCATGGTGTAGAGTTTGTTGTAGAGGGACGCAGCTTGTTGCTTGAGGACGATGGTGCTGCTGCTCGAGTTGACGGTGCAGCAGCGTTAGAAGATGTCCAAGAGCTAGCACGACCTGCAGAAATGTTAGTCCTGAAGCTAGCTCTTCGTCCCTGTACTTCCCTTTCAGCTTTACAAGCAAGATGAAACAAACGATTAATTGAATTATATTCTTTGTAGGCTAGAATGTCCTGAATTTCTCGGTTCAGCCCACCCATGAATCTAGCCATACCAGCATCATCATTTTCTACCAATCCACAACGAAGCATTCCTGTTTGCAAAGCTTGATAATACTCCTCTACAGATTTGTTTCTCTGTTTAAGTTGTTGCAATTTGTGCAGCAAATCACGTGCATGATATGAAGGAACAAATCTAGCTCGCATGACTCTTTTCATTGCAACCCAGGTTTGGGGAGTGTTATTTGGATTGGAACGAACAAATTCACTCCACCAAATGGATGCAAAATCAGTGAACTCACTAGTAGCAGCCCTAACACGTTTATTCTCAGGAAAATCATGGCAAGTAAATTTCTGATCAATGGCTAACTCCCAAGTAAGATATGCATCAGGGTCATATTTTCCATCAAAGCAAGGAATGGTAAACTTGATCTTGCCTAAAGAATCATCATTATCACGTACCTCCCGCTGTGGTGGAGCGCCCATGCCATGGCGCTGCCGGCGCTGTTGTCTTTGTGGACGACCAAGTACCTCCTCATCATGCTCAGTGTCAGCAGCGTACTCCAGTTCTTCCCTTGCTGCGATGCTGCTATTAGCATCATGGCCATTGTGGTTGCGCCTAGCCGATCCATCATGACCATCTTGGCCCATTCTCTCCAACGTATTCAAGATACCTGCAAGAGAAGTGTTCACAGCCACAAGGGACCTCTCCAATGAGGAAAGCTTGGAGTTGGTGTCAATTTGAGCAGCCTCCAATTGACCAAGGCGATCATTGGCGACCCTAACATCCTCATCAAGGCCTTCAGCATGCTCCCTCACTTGGCGCTCAAAATGTTGTATGATGCCCCTCGTACGTGGTGAATGTTGAGGGTGCTCCCCTGATCCTCCTGTCATGGTTAATGGGAAGAAACAATTCACAAGAAATATGTCCTATCAACTATTGGAGCTAGGTGTTGTCCATCTCCACTTCTACCAAACTTGTGCAAACGAGTTCTTACATGTTCTTACTTTGTTATGTAAAAGGCGTTGGCAAACAGCAAGAACAGCAACAACGGTTAGTAGTACCGGAGCCGACAACAAGCACGATCCTGTGATATAGTAGATAAAAATTTGTGGAGCTATAGGTGGCTGCAAGTAATATCAAGGTACAGCTAGAACCACATTAATCAAAGCAAGTTGAATAATCATTCAACGATGGTATTGTGCTGGTCCTAGGCAAAACCCTTTAGAGACGCGAGCCTAGTCACAAGCGTAGCCACTCAAAATAGCACGAAAATAACACAAACAAAACAGCAACAACAACAACTTCCTCTCTTCCCTTCCTTTTTTTTTCCTTCTCTTCACTTCTGATTTTTTTTCTTTCTTTTTTTTGTTTTCTTTCTTTTTTTTTTGTACAGCAAGCTCAAAGCTTCAGCCAACAAGTCAAAACAAGAAGTAATGATGGGTTGGTTGGCTAGTTACATGATTCAGCCAACAAGTCAAAAGTGAGAGCACTTAAATGCTTTCTTGGGAAGGGCTGATTCACTTCAAAAAGTTGCAAAAGGGTTGGCTGTTGGTGGAGGCAGCAATAAATGCATTTGGGGGTGGCTGATGTGGTGATGAGGGTGCTGCTGGTTGTGGTGGACGAAATTTGGTGGGGTTGGAGGTGGATTTCGTGGTGAATATGGTGGTGATGGTGGCAGCGGGATGAAGATAAATGAAGTGATGGTGGAAGTGTTTGCGGTGACGAATTCATGAGCAGAACTCGAAACTCTAAAGGACTAAACTACTAGAACCAGCAACTCAACCAATCGATGCAATCGAAAACTCAGCAAGCAAAGACTAAGTAGAACAGCAAAGGCTCAACATGTTTTGGTGATTTCGGGTCTGACCTATTTTAGTGGTTTTTCTTTTGGGCTGTAGGTAAAAACAAAGAAGTGATAAAATCTCTCACCGAGCAACTTGAGCTCTGATACCACTTGATGCAGCAACGGGGGTTCCCGATCTTTCGATGAGAGGAGGATAAACTTCGATTTGGGGAAGGATACGACGTTGGCGGTCCGACTACAACTACC